AGACATTTTTCAACTCATAAATGACTCCGAATCAGATTGTTTTACCGACAATTCTGAGAGTGGCGTTGAGGAAAGTGATTCAGAAATGGATTTCGAGGAAGACCCATCATCTTGGTCGGCAACCTGGGGACCACCACACCAGCATGGCAAGAGGAGTGTGAATAATTATTCAGGTGGAGCTGTGGGCAAACTGTGGCAAACAGTTATAGCATCTGTCGTCAAACCTGGAAATGGACAAATAAACTGTTTTTCCATCTCCTGGATCTGAACAGTTACATCCTGTTGTCACACAGAGAATTTTGTCTCGCTCTTGTGCGGAACATCCTGGAAGGGGTCCACCTCGCCATCAATGGCCCAGGGGTCGAACCCCTGCCGTTTTATTGGAGATATCTCGATTATAGGAGGCCAAACCACATCACTGGCCGACTTCCTCTACTTCGCAATTGAGGTGTCATGTGTGATTTTCGCGTGGGAAACGAAGAACCGTCTAGACAAAGTGCGTGAAGTGCGACGTCGGACCCTGGGTTTCCGGATGTTTCCAAGATTTCCACACGAAGCCAATTTCCATTAGACGATAAAGAGAGAGAACTTTTAAAGCTGGTGACCAACAATCATGTAAGTAGAAAAAGAATTTATAACTTAAAATTAGATTTTAAAAAGCTGGCTGCACGCGTGGACTGCGCGACGACATATGGTGTCATTCGTACCCTTGACTTTATTTTCATGACGCCATATGGTGTCGCTCGGCTCTTAAAGGTTAAAGAAAGCCTATGATTTAGTTAGGAGGGAAGTATTATGCAGTTTTCTGATAGAGTTTGGGATACCCATGAAACTAATCAGGCTGGTTAAAATGTGTTTAAACGCAATGTATGATAAAGTCCATATAGCTAAACATTTTGTCTAATAATTTTCCTATCCAGAATGGTCCAAAACAAGGAGATGCTTTATTGCCACTGCTTTTCAACTTTGTTTTAGCATATGCCATTAGGAAGGTTGAAGGAAACCATGTGAGACTGAAATTAAATGGGACACATCAGCTGTTGGTCTATGCCAATGATGTGAATCTACTGGGTGATAACATGGATACCATAAAGAGAAAAACACAAGCTTTAATTGATGCTAGTAAGGAGGTTGGTCTAGAAGTAAACACAAAGGAAACTAAGTATATGTTGCTATCTCGTCACCAAAATGCAGGGTGAAATCATGACATAAAGATAGGTAACAGGTGGAAAAAGACTGCTAGGAAGACTAAGCTGTAATTGGTGGACAATATTAAAATGAATCTTAGAGAGATAGGATGGAGGGCTCTTGTGAACATGGTATTGAACCTTTAGGTTCCGTAAAATGCTGGAAATTTTTTGAGTAGCTGCACAATTGACTGCTTCTCAAGAAGGGCTCAGCTCCATGAGAGAGTGAGTGAGTGAGTGATACATTGCTCAGAGAGCTAGAAAGTAGCAGTTGAACCCTCTCAGAAGTATGCTGTGTCGGATACGGAATCGATCTTGGTGTGTATCCTTAACATATTGTCATGTGTATGGGTGACTAAGATGCACATTTAGATTGTTAATTGAATTTATTTGATACTTACAGGTCGTAACTACAAATAATTATAACACTATTGCTGCTTTATGCAGTGTACAATCCACACTAATCTCTTCAGACTATCTGCACTAGTTTTCATGGCTTATAACACGGGAACTATAATAGTCTCATTGAATCACACATTCTAAATAACGGGTGTTTCACTCGGGGCGGAACCCAGCATTTTGTTAATAACTCAGATACTAATAAAGATATTGCAACGAAATTTAGAGTGGACTTACCTCAGTTCATGTGAAGTCTGGTGACATCATAACAAGTGCTGGAAATGGCCATCATTTGCATCCAGACAGCATTGGACTCAGCGCGCCATGTTTTGGGAAGTCCTTGCCTGTACATCAGGTGTCACTTCTTGGATGGCCTCACTTATGTTTGCTTTTAAAGCCTCTATGGTTCACGGTTTGTTGGCATAAACCCGTGCTTTCAAATGTCCCCACAAAAAATAATCAGGTGGAGTTAGATCGGGCGAGCGCGGTGGCCAAAGTCCCCTGGAAATGATGCGGTCGCCGAAAAAAGACTGG